ACCAACTATGATCGCAAGCTCCATTGTTACCAACAAAGTTCAATGATTCAGTGTTTCCTGAAACCATAGTTACAACAAACAGTAACAAACATCATCACAAACTTGTGTGGTTGGAACTATTTTTCCTGTTAGTATGACATGTTAACTTGTTTAGATCATGTTCCTGGGCACAACAATCAAACTAACATGCAGAACAATAGATATCTTTCTTTTCATTTTAAATAATCTATATCAATCTATATATTAGCTTTTCAGCGAGAACCACATATCTGACAGGCATAGATGCATGATAATATGATTTAACCAAACCTGATCTCATGAAAGTGCGTATAAATAGTACGGCAAATAAAAAGGAAAATTTGTGGTACGGATACGCAAAAATGGACTTTGGCGTGTATATGCTACGCGATGGGTAGGTTTAGGGTTGTGGGGTAGATGCGTATCTTATATATGCGAAAACTGCGTATTATATGCACGCCAAACACATGAGTATCATATACACGTCAAAGTCCATTTTTGCGTATCAATACCACGAGTTTTCGTTTTTATTTGGCGTACTATTTATACACATTTTCATGAGACCGGGCTCGATTTAACGTAACTATTTTTTGTTTCATATAAATAAACAATGAATATTTGACTTTAAATGCAATCTTGCATCAATGAATCAGCAGAAGTTATTACTTCACATAACATCATTAAAGTCAGTTCTGTATTGTTGAATCAATGTGGTTCAAACGATGGAGGTGCGATCATATTTCTACGGTTTCAATACTAGCTAGTTTCCCAGCGATGCATCACTATGGAAGTCAAGAGTTTTGTCGTGTTGAAAATGCACCCCTGAGCTGTAGACTCACCATCTGCCTCTCCCTCTTAGGTACACTGTTAGACATTTCAAAGAAAAAAATGTTCCGTGTTTGTTTCAAAGAAAAAAGGTTCCGTGTCTTCCTCGGATGCGAAAGGCACGGCGCGACAAAAGACAATATAGAACCCATTATAATCAGCGATACTATCTACAATGGATGCGGACAGTAAAGTGATGCCCCGTGCTGTTTCTGACACGAAGGGCAAACGTATTTGCCAATCATTACAAGCGATGTAACACGTCCAGTATAGTCTGTCCCAAGCTGTTGCGGTGTTGTAGACACGGTGCAGGGCAAATCTTGTCAATCCAAATGTAAGAAGTGAGAAAAATAAAACAACCTCAATGGAATGGCGCCACAGAGCAAATACAGTAGTATACAGCAATTTTAAAAAATACAGTAAGTCACTGTATGTGGAGTTTGACGTCACAGAAATTTCCCATGATGCAAAGGGTATTACAGTTACTTACTGTAAATGGAAATTGCAGTATTATACTGGGAGATATACAGTAAATAACTGTAGAAATTACAGAAATGTCTAACAGTGTAGGCCATCATAGTTAGGTCAGCTGGAGTCCCCCTTTTCCACTACAGGAGATCCCTGTCATCTGCTCTGCTTTGATATAAATGGCGTAGAAATGTCTTAAGTTCTCATTTCCTCTCCTCTGTCTGGGGAAATGCGTTTGAGGGTCAGTCCTTGACAGCCCAACCATATTATGCACCTCAAGCCATCTGTTTGAGCTCGGTTCACAGCTGATCCTCTTCAAACTGACGCTCATTACCGCCACTCTCTCAGACCCCAAACCTCCGGACTAACCTGAGATCGTCCTGTGCCAAATATTTAACCATGACCCATGTGGCCCACCAAAGCTATTCTTCAAGTTTACAAGAACAACTACCATTTCTAAGACTAGGCCGGCCAGAGCTGGGAGTAACTGATTACATGTAATCTGGATTACGTAATCAGATTCCAAAAATGTAGTACTTGTAATTAGATTAAAATTATAATTAACTGGAATATATTTTCTTTCTCTTTGTATTTTTATATCACTATGGTATAAGATTGTCCATTTTAAATCAATGTGATAAATGAGTTAGGTCAAAAGTAATCTAAAAGTAGTCCGATGGCACCATTAACAGTCATCTATAACAAATGAAAAGAGGTCAGTGAATATCCAGTGTCTGAACAGAAACTACAATCAAGCTGTAAACATTTCAAATGAAATCAATCCTCTTAAGAGGCAATGTATTAGGCAGACAGCTAACCTTGGCATCAAGTCCTTTAATTATTCACATTACTTCACACACACACACACACACAAACCCACATACTGTACACAGACACACACACACACACACACTCTCTCTATGGTTATAGTTTATAAGCGGACAGAAGACAAACTGAAATGATCACAACTAAAACTGAACGATGTGTATACTGCTGCTATTGTGCTATGAATACTGGTGCAAAACCCTTTAGAAAAGCGGTAAGAATGAATGAGAATCGGACATCAACAGCTGCTGAGACGGTGAGATTTACAAGTGCATTTCAAAAAAGAAATGGCACCATTAACAGTCATCTATAACAAATGAAAAGAGGTCAGTGAATATCCAGTGTCTGAACAGAAACTACAATCAAGTTGTAAACATTTCAAACGAAATCAATCCTCTTAAGAGGCAATGTATTAGGCAGACAGCTAACCTTAACATCAAGTCCTTTAATTATTCACATTACTTCACACACACACACAAACCCACATACTGTACACAGACACACACACACACACACACACACACACACTCTCTCTATGGTTATAGTTTATAAGCGGACAGAAGACAAACTGAAATGATCACAACTAAAACTGAACGATGTGTATACTGCTGCTATTGTGCTATGAATACTGGTGCAAAACCCTTTAGAAAAGCGGTAAGAATGAGGAAGAATCGGACATCAACAGCTGCTGAGACGGTGAGATTTACGATACTGGTGTCCTAAACAGCCTCATTTCACTTGAACTCGACTTCAGTGTCCTTCCACACCTCTCTTCTGTCTTAAATGAAGTCCTGTACCACAACAAAACAAGTAAAGAGTTCATTTGCAAATACCGATAAACGCCACTTTAAAAAAAAAAGTGAGCTGATTGCCGTGCATTATTCTCCATGTATAGCGCGATCTGAACCCTAAACGTTTTTGGTGATTTTGTCCACTTTTGGTGATTTTGAAAGTGGACTTGTTTTGTCCACTTTCAAGGCATCGTGAGTTCACGTTTTACTGCAGAAGCCGACAAGCGCCCTTGTTGTTTCTGAACAGAAGCCGATAAGTCCATTTCAGCGAATCAGCGTGCTGTATTCAGGTCAGGTGACAAGGCTACTTCACTTTGAAAAGACGTGCTATGCTAGCTGAGAGGAGTCTTGTCAAAGCTGACTAAAAGTGATCCGAGGATGGATAATTTCGACGAACTTAATGAACCTGTGATATCTTCTTCAGGGCGAAAAAGGAAAATAAAAGCTGAAAAGTTTTCACGTAAGCTTGCAAAAGCAGCGCGTTACAATGGAGAGGGAAAAGCTCCGTGTATTGCGTGTAATCATATCCATACAGTTTATGATCACAACAACAACAACGTTTGTCAGGCGTCTGTCTACATTGTCATCTGAGGAGATTACAAAGATTAAAAGAGTGGGGTTTTTTTACTCTGAAACCTGAAATATGGAGTTATCTGCTTTTGCTATAAAACAAACTTTTATTATGTAAAAAAAAAAAAAACATACTTTCAATGAACTTTAATTTAGTAAATTACCTGTATTTGTTTAAGTTATTATTACTTAATCAAAACAACCCAACTGCAGTTTGATTGATATTACTTGGAATGCGCAATAAAAAAAAACGTGATTTCTTAAAAATAAAAATAAAAATGGAGTTATCGGTTTTTGCAAATGAACTCTTCAAGTGCACTCCGTAAACTGGACCGACCAGCATCACATTAAGCCACTTAAAGCTGCAGTCCATAACTTTTTTTGGTTAAAAATGATCCGAAATCAATATTTGAGCAAGTGCATAACCAGCTAATAATAAAGTATAAAGTGTTATAGTATAAAGTATAACAATAATAATAATTTGAACGGTTTGATGTGATATGAGCTAACTGATCTTTCGATTTAATCACCATTGGTTGCGATATTTATGGTAATGCTTTTTTCCTCAGTTGGTCAGAACAAACGAGGCAGACTTGTTACTTGTTCAGATGGCAATATATGGTGAAAATTCTTATTTGGGTCATATTCCAAGATGTAGGCTATAATATGTGATTGCGAAGTACAGCAAATATCCACAGCGGTGCGGTGACTGACTGCCACACACACACACACACTCTTCAGAACATTAGATTCATCCGCGCTGGAGCCGCGCCGGAGCACAACCCACGCAAGCTAGATAATACCTCACACAGCTGCAATTCCAGGTTTTCAAACAGAGATGGCGACAAAGAGGCAAAACTTACGGACTGCAGCTTTAAATAAATGGTGCACATGAAAACCAGGACATCTGGGATTGCAGAACCAGAAAAACCACCACACTAGACGTTCCGTCAATCACAATCAAAACCAGCTTGAATGGTAAAAGCGGTGCACCACCAAACCAGTAAACCCCATCGACATCAGAACATTTAGCAAATTTGCTCTTGAAAACGAACCTGACAGTAGCTGCGTCTGAGAGAAATTCCCAACACGAGTATGTAATACTGGCAATAAGACTAAGATTTCAACTACTTTGATCAATTTAAGACGCAATCTCTCTTTTGTTTAGCAGTTTAAAGAACTGTGAATATGCAATGCATGCAAAAAAAAAAAATCAACCAACTCTATTTAACAGCATATCCATAGAGGCTAAAGGCAAACACTGCAGAATGAAAGGGCCACAACATCATGACAAACACTACTTATTTCAAGACACAATAGTAAAGTGAGGTTGCATTCAGGAAACCTGGCATTAGGAAAAGAGAATCTCATGCAAGTATTCATTAAAATGTCATTAGCGAAGTATTTTATGACTTTTATCTCAGTGTGACCCCAGACTGTGATCTTCATCTGAACACTAAAAAAGGCTGGTAAGGCAATCAGCTTTCATTTGATGTAGCCATTAGCACGCTGAAATAAAAAAGACATGATAGTAGTTGCAGTAGGAGTTCAGTTGGGCAGGAAAAGGTGGAAAATGCTGGAGAATTTCGCCGAGGCTTCTGTGCTTGTTGTGGTGGTTATCTGATGCTGGAGAGAGAGTTTTGATTAATGTTGTAAGTGGCCACCAGAGACGTGCCGTTGCTGGTCATACAGTCCTGCTGAAGGGCTTCGAAGTAAGATGCTTGCACAGGTTTGTGACACTGCAGCACACGCCGGGCATCTTCTGTCTTAAACCACTCTCTCTTCCTCCCTGAGAACAACGAGAGGCACCAGAAAACCAGTCAACAGGACCGCAGTAATGCTGCATTCACGTGCAGTCAGAGTTACTGTCATTAGGAGAGGATTTTAAGATCGAGCTCTGAGCTGCTCCTATTTGTTTCTATGGCAATGCTCGAAACAGCAAAGAATGATCCACTGACGATTATTTTAGGGGAAAAAAGAAACTCATAGAAAACAAGTGCACCAAGTGTAAATGGCAAAAAAAAAAAACATGCAGAAATATGCATATCTTCAAGTTCAGTTGATGAGGTTGCTGCCACTTTATAAATAAATAACAGCAAAACAGTACTTTTTTTTTCTTTTCTCTAGATCATATCCTTACCAATATTTACTGAATCCTCCCAGTCCTCCAGAACCTCGGTTACGATGAGAACATAGACATACGTTCTATGCTTTCTGTCTCGGTTCTATAAAGAAAAACTATTTTTAACAGCCTCACAGGAAATACTACGTCATGTATATAAGTATGCTATGCTATACATTATGTGCAAAAAAGGGGTTAAATGTAAACATTACATTCTACACAATTCTAAAAATCAATTGCTGATTGCTTACAGTTTTGATTTAAAATGATTAAAAAAAAATAATAATAGTCTCAAATGCGGTAAACTGCAGACTTGTGTGTCAAAGCACCTGACAGGGAAAGCTGTGTCAAATTATATGCTTCTGTTTGAAATGCAGATATTTTGTCCATATAAATACATAATTCACTGTAATGTTATTAATGTTATTTTCATTATCGATTATTATTGATTAGCTGTAGCCCCAATTGAAATAAAAAAGATCTATAATGTGGCAACTTTATTCTCTTACTTTACCCTATGTACTTTATTCTCAAAATTTTACTAAGTCAAGTCACCTTTATTTGTATAGCGCTTTATACAATACTGATTGTGTCAAAGCAGCTTTACAGTGTTAAACAGGAAAATAGATTGTCAATAATGACCAGTGTTGGGGGTAACGCGTTACAAGTAACGTGCGTTACGTAATAATATTACTTTTCTGAAGTAACTAGTAAAGTAACGCATTACTTTATAAATTTACACATTCACATTTTCATTTTTGGGTGAACTATCCCTTTAATTTATTCTTTTTGACCTTGTTGTTTACCATCAGAAAACACTCACCTCAAAAACGCCTACCAATCTTCCTAATGTGCCTTTTACTCCCGCCTGTGGGAATAAAAAACAGAGTTTAGCACTGAATTCAGGACATTTGTAACGTACTACAACATTTTAAAGCATCTTGAAACCTCTTATTTCAGCATATATCAGTTCTTTGCAGATGAATATAAAAAATATTTCAAAAGATGATATATCCACACCCCACCGAGTCGAGATGTGGGAAAGTTGACAGAATTCATCTAAATCAGAGGGCCATATAAAGCTATTATCAGGATGGATCTGGCCCAGCAGTCTCTGCTTATATACTGCAGCAAACAAACCACTGCAACAGAAGTACTTCTCCACCTGAGATTACTGGCTCGTTTGTGTTTTTAGCTTTAACCCGTCATAGAAATCCACACAATTGGAACAATTCCTAGTATTTGCCGAAGCCTGGAAACATCTTGTGAAAACATCATGTTAGTGTTGCAGACATAAGAGATGGAGAAAGATGTTATGACTGTAAAAAGCAAAAGAACAGAGAAAGACAAATCTGCAGCTAGAATGGTCTCAATTTATCAGATCTCAGAATTTATCAACAATAGTTATTATTGCACTGCGTAATAACAGCAAGCAATAATTTTACAGCATTTATTAATCTTGGTTCATATTAATACTTAATTGATTCATATAATTAATTATGAACAAACATTAATTAACAATGAGCAATAGTATATTTGCTTATTTACATTAACCAATGTTGGTCATTACAAGAATTCATGTTAATAAATTAAATCTAGGGATGCACCGAAATTACAATTCTGGGTGCACTTGGCCGAAAATGCTTCGTAATAATTATTTATTACTTTATTAAACAATTTAAGGTAATTTTTAAAGACGTTTTAATTCAACTCAGTCATTTTAATGATACTGAATAAAAAAATTAAAAAAAACAACTCCATAAAATAACCACACTTTTATTGAAAGTAACACAATAAAATATCAATATTAAAAATATATTATATTAATATTAAATATCAATTTTTTTTATTCAGTTCTATGCAACAGAATCAGAAACAAATTTTTTTTTTTACTAATTATCCAAAGTAAAGTCTAGTCCTACAAAGCTATTATTATCAGAGCATGTGAGCAGAGCATA